AATACAGATTGAGAAGATGTTTGATCACTGCAGCCCATTAGGGCTGGGCTGCAGCCCATTAACCCAAATGAGAAAAGCTCTGGCTTCCCTGGGCATCCTCTGAGCCTAAGGTAGGAAACCTCCTAAGACAGCCTCTTTCCTCCTCTGGTCAAGGGAGCTCTTCCTCATTTGTTTACGGAAGGCCTCGCACTGCTGGTGAGGTCAGGGTTGGGTTCAGTCCTGAAATGAGCCAGTTAACTCCCCCAGATCCCAAGGTGTGGGATGCAGGAGCCCATACCTGGCCCTGTGGGCTTCTCTCCTGCACCATCTCCGTCAAAGACATCATGGCAGAATGCCATCCCACCAGCAACATGAAGGGAGCATCATCTTTGACTTGGACCCAGAGGCCCTTCGTTCCTGGGACACGGAGTCTTTTAATAACCTGGGAAGTAAGTAATTTGACAACCTCATTTTTTTAAGGGCAATATAAACCAAGAGATGCAGTTAACGTGGGCTTTTATTGCAAATCCAGCTAGAAATAGGAGAGAAGAGTGTCAATTTGGATTTTAAAGAATCAAAAACACCTTGTAGTGAAAACAAAAGTGTCCATTTTTCTGGGAGGCAAAATTTATTGTATTTATTTGTAAGGAAAACACTGCCTGTGTTTCAATGATTGGGGGGGGACAAAAAGAAAAAAAATTCTTGGCTATAAATTTTTTCTGTCTGTAGAATTAAACAATATCTATACTCAAGAAACTGAAGATGAAAACACAACAAAAACACAACAATCTTTTTATTTATGTAAATCAGGTCAACACTGGACAATAAACCAATTCCTACCCATTACCATAACAGCTTGTCTATAAAGAACAGAAAAATTCAGATAGGATTCTACCTAGGGTCAAGCGGTTTTTTTTTTTTTTTAACCACCCATTCACAGAGGTATAGATTCACAGATAAATAATTCCAAACTACCTGTTCACCATATTTACACATTCCCATTAAATTAAACATAAATAAATATATACAAACTTAACATGGATACCCTCCAGAGCTCTTCTCGTGAAGAGTCAATAGATGGATATTTCTCGATTGTTGTCAAAAACAATGTTAGTGAATTAGAGACCAACTCAACAGAGGAGTCGATTTTGGCATTTCAAGAAGAATAGCGTTCATTCTACTTTTTAAAAGAAAACAAAACGAATTTCGTTTTTTTTTTTTTTAACCTGATCATTTAACATACATCAGCACAGGAGGGGAAACACTGTTTGGGCTCTTGAGGCAACATCAGATGGTTTAAGGTTATTTCCTTTCCACAGAATGTATTACGCATACAGGATATCAAATGTGAGGACAAACTCCCTATAAACACTCTTAAGTAGGGACGAGTTGCCCTTTTAAGTAAGGCTTTGTACCGGAGGAACAGTGTGTAGATAAGTTTGGGGTATTTCAGGTTTTCCATTCGACCGCAGTTTTCATAGGATATAAAATAGTTGCTTGAGAGAAAGTGGTTTCCTTGGCCAAAGAAAATAAAACAGGCCAGGTCTTTGAAACGTTCTTCAGTTCTTTATGTAGGGGTGGAGAAAGCTAAGGATGTGGTGCCAGAGAGAAGGCGGGGGGGGGG